ATATCCCGTTCTCCTCCATCAAGATCCTCCCCTTTCAGCCTTGATAATGAAGTCAAAAACGTTTTTGATGCTTCTTTTTACGAATGATTTATACATAGGTTTTAAGATTCTAACCAGCCACATTGCAATTTTGTGATATGGAGAATTATACTTCTCTAAAACTGGGCGAAGGAGAAAACCCGTCTTATGAACTTCGGTTAGACCAGATTGTCATAATATATTTTGATCCAATTGATGTAAGTGGATCATGAAGTTCGGACGAGATAACTCGATTTCGTTTTAGTTATCTAAGAATATTAGTAATCTGTTTCTCTACTTATTCACTGGTCTTTATTATCAGTAAATTTTTGAAATTTGGTAAGATCACTGAGCATTGAATTCAATTTATCAATGTATTGCGTTTTATTTATTAAAATTATATCTTTATGTAGTGTGCTTTTGATCAAGGTATCATCTTTGCTCTGTTAGAGCATCTCGATGCTGCCTGATTGTAATGATGACAATTAACTACTACCGTGGTCTTAAACCTAGCTAGCTCCTCTAGTGAGGTTGAGCGCAAGTTATTTGTTTAGGAAAATGGATTGTCAAACCTATAACCCTAGTTTGTGTTCAGGAGAAACTCGTAATATCCCTATCTCTTCCTTGGCTGGATGTGACTTGATAAACGATTTTACGAATTTCTTCACATTCTGTCGTTCTTTACCTCTTCCATTTTATATTCACTAAGTGATTATATTTACACAATTCTTATTACATAAATTCGTAATTTTCTATGATTATTATTTTAAAGTTTATTTATCCATGTTAAAGTATTGACTGGAACTTTTACTCTTTTATCACTCTTATCATTATTGGTGCGCCTGCTTTCTTGCTATAAATCTGAACTTCTTACCTATTATGGTGTAGTTAGGCTATCTGTTTTATTATGATCATTGATTCATAAGCTGTCGTGATCGGTGTAATGTTTATATGCATCAATATAAATATTTCTGTATATTAGAATAAAACCTAATAATGATCTAATTGCAACAGTACTGTTTGCTTATGTGATTTGTTTTAATTTTCACAATGTGGATCTTTAGTATTCTTGTGTGGTAGTGAAAGTCTAGTATGGTTGGTCGCTGAGTGTGGATAAACAACCATAACCTACGGACTATTAAATATGTGGTTTTCGTTCTTGTCGACTTCTACTCTAGAATCACTGTAACTGCTTGTAATTGTATTGAATAAAGTATTCTCTAGTGTTATCTGGTATTTTATTTTGGGTCGCGAATCCTGGTTCTGAAATAACGTGATTAGTCTTATTAATGTATTATCGTCATATACGTTCGAGAGGAAAACAATATTGTAAACCGTCCGTTATATCAATTCTATGGGAGCAAATATTTCCTTGTATATCATGGCTGACTTGAAACTTTGTTTTTGCTCGTTTTATTTGCCGTCGTCCATATGTACATGTTCCTTTTCGTTTTCATATTGTTCATCACTTTCGTAGATCCCAAGAAACTCAAGAGAGTGGAGATCGTCAAGTATCTTCAATTCAACCAAATGTACAAGAGTAAGTCCTTGAGTATTCCGATATGAATGGGAAAATGTGTGAGTATATGTTTTTTGATTATGTGGCTGTAATTAGTGCTAATCTGTTAATGAAGGTTCTTTGGAACTGATAGGAAGATAATTTGATTGGAGTTTTGGGAGGGTATATTGATTGATTATCTGTGTTGTAAATAGATGCTCACTGACTGATTATTTATTCGTTTCTAGACAAAGAGAATATAAGGGATCTATGTGTTTATTTTTCAAAACCTTATATGCAATGACTGCGAGCATTGTTGTTGTAGGTGAATAAATATGTACGTGTGATAGAGGGATCCGGGCTGTTTGATTTTTAGCTAACTGCTCCGGTGTTTTTGACAGAAATTAAGCAGAAATTGTTGTGGTTTTGGATATTTTTGATGAAAGTGCTGGATTATTTGCAGAATGATGGGGAGAATATTTTGAAAATTTTATCTGTTGTCCAGTCACGTTTCACGCTCCAACTATCGAGTTACAGTTCTGATCAGGTATGTACGTTATCTGTTGAATTATTTGTATGATGTTGATTTTTGCTTTGTTAGTTAGCAAACCTTTTTATATAAGATTTGAATATATTGAATTGGTTTTAAGTTTCGATTTTCTGTTATTCAGGGCTCCTGTTTCATCGTTGTTTGGTGATGAATCTTCTGCAATTGATGTTCCTTCGACGTCAAAACTAACAAGTTCACCTTCCAAACCCGCGAGACAAAAAAAGAAGCATCCAAAAGTAATAGAAACGTAAGTGCTGTGGTTTGCTGTAGATCGCTTTTTGTTGTAATTCGCAAGCTTGCTTTCTATTTCTGATCGGTTCCTACTTTTCGTTTCAGTGTTCATCTTTCTGAGGATTTCTCTAAGTGAGTTATTTTTATCAATATTCACCATATTTGTTTTATTTGGAAAAAGTATGGTCGGTTTTTACTTGCGTTAAACACGTTATCTTATCTTGTGTATTTTAAGAATGAATATCAAAAGACTTTCAATACCTAATCGACCGGATGGAGGGGGACATTCGGGCAAAGAAATGTATGTGACTGTTAATTGTTGGGATTTTTCGATAAAGCCCAAAGTTGTTTACATGTATCGAGCAGAAGCTCTCGCTGTATATCGTGGTGATGAAGGAAACAGGACTGAAATACGAATGTCTGCTAAGGATAAACGTGCTCTAATTAAACAGGTGGCTGATAGGTAAGTATTTTTCAGATACTCTTCATGATATATTATCATTTCATTTATTTTGTAGTTTACTGGTCATGTATATTGAATTTTATTTGTTTGAGCAAGAACAATTTGACTGGGGACATCACACTTGACTGACTAATACTCTTTCAAACCTTATTACCTACGAATGTTTTAGCTTACACATACACTCATTTTCGAAGTGGAACTTTTCTTTTTACCAACTAGTATTTGTAACTTTCCTTGCTGACTAATTAAAATGAGTGGAGTGGCATTCCCCAACTATGTATGACTATTCCTCGTTTGTAAAATTGGTATGCCTGAATTAGACTCTAAAGAATCACATGAGAAAGCCTAAGAGCCATCAACCATTTTAGGTTAAATTCTTTCATTGTTTAAACGAAGACGGATGTGACGAAAATGACCCTAATATTTGTAAAATTCTAGGAAAACTGTCAATAATCGATTACTGTGTAAAATGACCGATTCGAACAAGTGAACAACTTCAAATATTTCGATTTACCAGTTGCATGACGTGATGAAAGAACACTTGGACTTGAACCGACTGTTTGTGATTGATTTTCATAACAAAATAAAGGATTTTAAAAGAAACACATCAATATAGATTAACAATAAAACTATTTTTGCTTGACGGATAATACCCATACTAAATTTGGAGATTTTCTTGATGAGCACCATGTTTCATATCTAAACTGTGGGTTTATATGTATAAATATTCTGTACTTGCGCTCAAAATATTTACCTGTTTATCACAATGATGTCGTTGAACCGTTATGCATGATGTAAAAAGTATGTCCAACTACTTTTTATAACACATATTGCATTATCCTTAAACTACGTGTTTCTGTCACTTGTTTATACTAAGATGGTATAAAACTTATAAAACGGTCCTATTGTCGTGTTTAAGTACTTTCTGTTCGGTCTATATAGAATTTCCAGAAAAAGTAATTTATCTTCACTTTTCTCTTCACACATTTTTACTATAATAGTCAGGCATGTTTCGTTTGGTATCGTACATGTACCAATAACAAAAAGTAAATCTCTCCGATAAGAAGAATATCATCCAGTATCGTTTTATAGGTGAACCTATGATAAATCTTTATGACTTGTCTATGGATTTCTTCTTTAAATTTGATATTCACATTCATGGAAGATTTCTGAAAACTTTGTTCCCGGTGGTTCTTGGAATTTCATGTCTGCGTTGCCTAATTCTGAAATTGATGGTTTTCTTTGACTTACTAATTTGTGAAATCTTAGTGGACAGTCTCATTATCGGTCTTGGTAACAATTTGATTTTGTTGGTGTTTCTACTTACGACAACAGTATATGGTTGCTCTCTCTCTATGTTTACATAGTTTACACGACTGTATAATTTACGATGGTGGCCATGACATATACTCGGCAGATCGTTTGCCAGGGATCGGAAAAGTTCCTACTGAGACAGAAATGAAAATTGTTGATCCACTTGGTCGAGATAATCTTATTCTAAAATATCACTTGATGGAAGTACAGACGGTGTCAAGTGACGATGTACAACAATACGTAGAAAACCCAAAAGCAACATCGTTAAACATTCCCCAAGTAATGTTCATGTTTTATAATCATCCTTTCTAGGAATCCATAAGATTGTTAGATTGTATATTAAGAACTGTGTCGAAGCAGTCGTTAATATCTCTTGGAAGATCTGCTTTATTTTACGAAAAGCCAGTGAAAGTCGTTGCAGATAAGCTACTGAGTATCCACAGAGGTTTTATCGCTAGCATTAGACCTCAATGGAAGGTCCGTATGAATATAGACATGGTATTTCATGAGATTTCTAATTTGCTTGTTTTTGAAGACCTACAAGGCTTTTTTCACAGCTGGTAACCTAGCAGATGTTATGTACGAAAAGTATGGAGACAACATGTACAGATGTAGCTCACAAATGGCTAACGATTTAAGAAGAATACGTGTTGAGACTGATAAGTTTTACAAAAGTGACAATGGTATGTGGCTTTTTTATTTACTCTAATAAAAAAACTATTCAAGGACATGTGTATTCTAGACGTTTCACTGTGCATGGAATATCTTCTGTGCCAGCCGACAAGCTTATGATCGAGGAGAGAAAGCAGTCTGTTGCTGCGTACTTTGATGAACATCACCATATTAAGTTAAAATATCCTGATCTTCCGTGCATAAAGGTAATGTGCATTTAGTGTTTCATTCCTTAGGTTGATCAAAAACGAGAGGTTTATATGCCGATGGAATTACTAAATATTCTTCCTTTCCAAGCACCTAACGCGAGCAAGGCTGATGTGGCTAGTGAGGTTATCCGTTGTGCAGCAGTACGTCCTCAAGAACGTTTTCGAGAACTTATGGATTTCACTAATTCGATTTCAAAGTAACTGTATTTCGATTTTATTTGCACGGTAGATGATAATAATGCGTTAAAGTTTTGAATATGTTCTATCTCGTTTTCCTTATCAGTTAAAGCGTTAGATGTGATGTGCGATTGGTTACTAACAAACTGAATTGTAGGCCCCATTATATCTTAATTAAAAAGTCATTTTCCAATTCAACACAACTTAGTAGTGCTTCTCCAGAAATGCGAATTCCAAATGTGGGTAATGTGGGAGGAGATGAAAACTTTTGGGAGGTGATTTATGAAGTTTAGTCTACTGGAGATGAAACCCTTGATTTGTGTTTCGGCGCTTATCATCAAGACCTACTTCCAATCTTGAGAAGATTAATCAGTCCTACGTGATTCTCATTCTGGTGCGTTACCACTGACTTTCTGTTGGATTGAGACACTTATACTGACTTATCACTGAGTATTAAATAGTGTCATCTCTGTCTGGCTGTTTAGTGCTGACTGAATTCTATCGGCCAGGTTTACGTCTAGGCCTTCGTGTAAATGACTCGGGGGTCGTATGTGCTGTGCTTAGCTGGCTGTTTAGATACAGTGTTGTTAGCTACTTTTTCAAGTTTGTAATTTACATAAGTATGTGATTCGAATTTGGATGTGGGCATCTAAAGAGTTCCAAAAATAGTCGACTTTTGTAAAGATTTTCCCGTAGACAAGTAGCATGAGCTAAATATTCATGGAAATTCATGTGGGTTGTTGTTTGCTTTCGGTGTATTTTTTAAAGTACTTGAACAAGATCGTTGAGTAACACAAATGAGTAGACGAATAAAATTTTGTTTATCAGTCACTGGGTGCCATAAATCTTGACAGTGGTGTTTCTCAAATTAACTTAATTATGTCCATTTATTTCTATCTTAAGGGCACATCGACTATTCCAGTTGTTTCAAGTAAAGATAGCAAACAAACCTGTAGATGTAAAGTCACGTGTACTCCAGCCACCTAAAGCAGTTTTTAATCGTCCAGATAAAATCCAACTGAAGGCTGGAAGTTGGAATACTCCAGATTTTCACGAACCGGCTAAACGTGGTGTTGCAATTCCATGGGGAATACTTTGTGTTCCAAACAACCCAGTATGTTTGAGATTTTGGTTTTCCTTATTGTAGTGATATTTTTAAGTTTTATGGATGATTTGTTCCTTGTTGATGCTATTGGTGTTCGGTAACGTATTGAAATAATTGCCGACTGATGATTACAAGGTTTAGGTTTCTAAATAAATGAATCTTCTTCATAACAATAAACGGCCAACACGGATATAATGAACATTAGATGATAGTGTAAGATTCTAAATGACAGTATTGTATAGGATCTCAAGTAGCTTGTCAAAATTAGATATCACCAACCAATAAGAATCAGTATTGGATCACTGTAAAATAGATAGATGGACATCTCGAACATAGAGTTTCGAATGGATGTGTTTTGGTCTATGTTGCCATGCCTGATTGGCATGACGAATGAAATAATGTAGTAAAAATAATGCAAAAAGACTTAAGCTTGGGAATATGATTTAAAACAACTGTGAAAATGTATGTATGAAGGAATAGTCACTTGACAGCACTTGTATAGAAACGATTAAGATAACTATGATATTATACTACTTTTCAGTTCAACCGCTTAATATCAAATAAACATATTGCAATGTTAAATAGAAATCTAGTAGTTGGATTGCATTTCGATCGGTCACCGACCTGTCGAATTCTGGGAAATTATTAAAGACTAGACAACGTGAGATTGTTTACTACTACTTTTCAACTAAGGATAGGGAGTAAAGTGGTCGAACGCGTCGACAACTTCACTTATCTCGGAAGTCTGATCAGCCCTAATGGGTTGTCTGACAAAATCTCATCATGGATTCAAAATGCTCATTTGACTTTTGCCAACTTACGTCACCTATAAGTGAAGGCGAGATATCCGTCTATCAATTAAGGGACGAGTATACTGCGCAGCACTTCGTTATGTTCTACTTTACGGCTGCGAAACGTGGCCATTAAGAGTAGAAGATACCCGTAAGCGACTTAGAAATATTACTCACATCTGCTGGGATCACCATGTAAGTAATAGTGAGGTTAGACACAGGGTATTAGGGGATGATGGTAAATCAATTGACGTGGTTGTGAATTTTCATCTACTGAGATCGTTGGGTCACGTGTCAGGTATGCATGAACACCGCTTATCACGACGCGCAATGCTGACTAGTGTTGGAAGAAAGTTAGGAGCGGCCAAACCAAAACATGGCATCAGTCCTTGAAGTAACTAACTTCTAGTCTTAGCCATGTTGGTAGATGTAGACTACTTGGTTTGGGTCTGCCCGACTATCGTAACCAATGGTTGGAGCCTCTTGTTGACATGGCTCAGAATCGATCACAATGGCGTCGGTGTATAAACTCTGTCTTCCCTTTAACTGTTTGTTATAACTTGTGACATGTGCGCTCTGTTAATGTATAACGTAACGACACCGTCAATTGGAGAGCAGTGAATTATCGATCGGACCAATGACGCGTAAACCCGTACGATCAGTCTAGAGTACTTATCGGTCCTGATTCCTGCCTAGTCCAGCCAGTTAGGTCCAGAACACCAATCTCAGCCTCTGCAACATAAATCGTTTATTTCAAACATACTGGTTTTATATACCAACCAGACAGACCACATCGTACCATAAAATAGGAAACAACATTTGTACAAGATTTAGCTGAAAGTGGCTGTGAGTGTGGGGGGTAGTAATTAATAGACAGGGCATAATTTAAGAATGGTAAGTTGTACAATAATAGTTCATAGGTCAAATAAGGCTCATAATAAGAGGGACATGGATATATATAGTTTAGTTATTTAACAATCATACGATAAAAATATATGCATAGTATTTGTCCATAAATGGATCCCAAAAGTTACCATTCATTATGCTTATCGGGACATGACACAATTGTATTAAAATTGCTTTATATCTTTTTTTCTTCGTGTACTATATCCTTATATGCAATATTTCTTTTATATACTACCGCCATTAAATTAACAACTTCTATGGATTCGATGTTCATCTTGTTGTGCTAATGAGATATGGCAACTTGGACCGATGCATATATGTGTACTTTCCGACCAAGTAGTGTGCGTAGAAAGTACCTTATAAACATATATGGATTGTTGTTTCCTTATTGAAGTAAAACAAATGTGAATATCAAACAATCACTTCTCATTAACAGCGAAATAATGTTTGTTAAGGGGAGAATTTTTCATTTAACCACGTCAAAATGTGAAAGAAACTCTTTTAAAAAAGCGATGGCCTTGCCTTGTCGTTTTGATGACAGTTACATGGAAACTGACTAGAAAACATTATTGCTTGAAGTATATATGACCCTTTACTTCATCAGTGTGTAATTCTTTTTATGCTTTTTTTCAATCTCTTTGTAATATTTTGTTCTTGATTTTTATTGTAGCGATCTAGAGGCGATGTGGAAAAAGTCACAGACGAATTACCGAAGGCCGCTAACCGTTTCGGTGTTTCCTTCAGCAATAAACCATTTATATCACAATGCTCCCTTAACCAACTTGAAAAAAAGTTTGAGGAATTTCATCGACAAGTAAGTGAACCTAATTTCAGGGAGTTGGTTTTGATTTCTGTAGCAGTTACTAACAAATTCGAATTTTTCCAGGGTTGTAACTTCATTCTGTTGATTCTGTACGATGATTTGGCTTACGGAACAATAAAACGTTTAAGTGACTTGAGAATGGGTATCCGCACACAATGTGTTCGTGGTAGCACTCTACGCAAACCTAATGTGTTTCGTAAGTATCTTTCATTCATTCATATTCGTTTGTTTCAATTTTTAGAACGAATGGACTAATTCAGTCTGTTTTGTTTTAGCCAACCTATTATTGAAACTCAATGGGAAACTTGGTGGTGTTAATTGGATTGTCCCAGATCTTATCGAGAACAGTCAGGATTTAATAATGGTTTTCGGTGCTGATGTTACTCATCCAGCACCGACACAATCTCATCAGGTTCTCAAGTCAGTTGCTGCTGTTGTTGGATCTGTCAGTCCTGAGTTAATGCGATACGGGGCTGTAGTTAGACAACAAGCAACTACTGAGCGAGGAAACAAAACAACAAGAGAAATTATTGATAACTTGCATCTGTCAGTTGGAGAACTGCTCACGGTTAGTCCCTTTAAATTCAATGCAATGTACTCTCTGTTACTACTGTGAAGTATTATTTTTCTCTACTTCTTTATTTCTTTCGCAACAACATTATAATTCGGGAACATTTATATTTATACTATAGCTGTATTTGCGGAATACGAAGGGACGTTTTCCTAAACGTATTATATTCTATCGCGACGGTGTCTCAGAGGGTCAGTTTGAAAATGTTTTGGTCGAGGAGTTGTCTGCCATTCAAAAAGCTTGCACTGATATTCGTCCTGGTGAAGAACCTGCTATTACATTTATCGTTGTCCAGAAGCGACACCATATCCGTTTCAAACCACATGATCCCAGGTAATTAGACGAAATTTTACTGCTCGTAGCTATGATGAAATGTTTAGATATTCGATACAGTTTTTATTTTCAGACATGTTAGATGTTTCTTCAAGACCATATCTCGCATTTTCATTTTGACAGGGCACGGAATGTGGAACCAGGGACTGTCGTGGATACAGATATTACTCATCGTAGAGAGTTCGATTTCTATATTTGTTCTCATGAAGGGATTCAGGTAACTGGTTTCTCTTTGTTGATGATTATTTCTTCCAGGGAACATCAAAACCGTCCCACTATCATGTATTATATGATGACAGTAACTTTACATCGGACGCTCTTCAAATGTTTACGTACCACTTATGTTATGCTTATATGCGGTGCTCTCGTAGTGTCTCTTACCCTGCTCCGGTGTATTATTCTCATTTAGCTGCGTTTCGTGCACGAGATTGGCTATCAAACACGAACGAAGCAAGTGTTTTGCTTGATGGTTATGATCGCTTCAAAGTTCACATATCACAAACTGATGGGATGTTTTTCTTGTAAAGTTTCGTTAATTTATTATTTCGGAGAAAACTTTTTATTTTAATATATAGACCATTACGTTTAATAAACAAATTAACGATAAATATAATTGTACAGTTCTTGTTAATGAAGTCGTCGAAAAGGAAATTTTCCCCGTTAAATTCTCTTATTTATTCATTTCATCATTTATTCGAAATAAATTGCATTTATAATGGTTTATGTTGGTTTTAACTTGAGCGATTGAATATATTTTATAACTCGCTATCCCATTCAATTAGGCTCTCAATAATAAACTTTAAATTTGTTGTTAGTCCAACTACTTGATGCAGTGAAGGTTACGAGTTTCTGATTACATAACTACTTATGGTTTGTTTTTCTATGGTGTGTACTTATTATATCATACGATATTGTCAGGTAGTTGAAGGCATTGTCACAAAGTTTCTTAATACAACAATAGGGAACATATACACAATTTACTATTCACAAATATTGAGGAGTAAAAAATGGTTGATCTAAAAAAGGCAAATAATGCAATAAAATAGGCAGGTGATAAAGTTTTTTTTTTAGCTGTGAGAGATCGTTATACACGCTGATCAGTGTATTTGTATTAGAGCGTAGTTTAGTTGCTCATAAAAACAATGTTTTAATAAGACTTGTATTGTAGGATATTGGGCCAAAGTATTGAAATGGAGATAATGATGAGCCTTGGAAGATTTATGGTAAATAGGACGTTAAAGTGAATCATCCTCATTTCTTGTGATCCACAAAAGTTGTTCTATCCTGTAAATGATGTTTTTAGTTGTACTGAAATTAGAAATTAGTCTTCATGGTCCCAGTTGTCACATACGATAAAAGCATCATCATAAAATTTGCAATCTTGATATAAGGCTTTGAAATTTAGTTTTTTTAAAAAAAATAAATATCAGAAAATTCCATCAAATACTTTTCTAGATTCATCCGAAAACTTGTTTGTTCAACAGATTTAGATAGTTCTTATATTATTTACAAACAGTTCGCTCAGTTCTACTCCACTCGAGATGTTGGATAGTGTTATGCAACATAATGAGTTCAAACTACTCTCATATAGTTTACAACATATCAAAGTAAGCTCACTTCATGTCATATTGTTTGCTTCTATTTTGTAAAATACTAATAAACCAGTATCGAGGATGGTATATGTTGGAATATTCAGAAAAATATCCCCAAAATTATCCTGTTAAGTCTAATGCTATCCTTGAACGTGAAATCGTATCATTTTCCTATTGATCAATATTTATTTCACGTGTCATTTCCCTATTGGTCAATATTTATTTCGCGTGTCATTTCCCTGTTGTCAATATTCACGGTAGTCCTAACTGTATAAATATGCATCTGTCTGTAAATTCTTATTCTTCTTCTCCTGACACCACAAACAATTTCTTTCTAATGGTTCGTGTTCTGACATATTGGAGATCGTGGAACAATATTGGGGTCGTACTGGGATATTTGAAGTTGGTCAATCGGTAGAATTTAGAGTAGCCACCCCGCGGTTCACAATAGTATACTTATAAGTTGTTATATTTTACTGCAGAACAAGTAAAAATGTGAACTATTAACCTTATTTTATTGATTAACAGTAGGTCATTATTTATGTATCTGTATAGATGAATAACTTTGCGTAGTATAGCAGATTCACGACAAACGAGTGGTAAACTTTCAAATGATTATTTTCTATATTTTGTTTGAAAAATGGTAATTTATTATGGAAGACCTATGTTTGTTGGGTCGTGATATTAAATCCGTAAGCAGACTTACATTACATCCCGTCTTTGATTTTAAATCAAACTCCGATAGTTTCCTGTATTTAATTTAGTTAAAAAAAAACTCACATTGGCGTCAGTTACAATTGGATATTTAAATACTTTTTTAAAACAACCGAAAAGCACACTTTTGGAGTAGGTAATATGGGACTACTAAATTGGTCTACGGTTAAACTGGATACACAAACTGACATTTTAGTAAACATGAAAATAAGAGTACTTCATTGACCAAATATGTTTGTATATTCCTATCATATAAGTAACCTACAAGAAGACAAACAAATATAAAGTAATTCTGATAATATCAATTTACAAAATCCTAACATTGTGTCGAACACCAACAGAAATGATATAACCAACTCAAGCTTATACGAATTTCTATCCTTTTATTAAACAAATCGTTTTTTTCATTTTATAGATGTTAAAGTACATTTTACAAATTTTATTTATGTCTCTATGAGCGTAGTGGGAAAAGGATTAATAAACAATACTAACTGATACAGTGGAAATAAGTTGGAGAATCAGGTCTTAATTTCACTACCACTTGAGTAATCTATAATAAAACCCGTCTTTTCAAATCATTCAAATTTCGAAGGACTGATTGTGTTTGTTTTCGCATTCGTCGCTTGGTACTTAATAAGCCTATCATTTCACTAGAGTATATAAACTTATGTTTCCCAGTCGCGTCTGTCTTTTGCCATCAGTTCATGTGACGAGGAAGCTCTAAAAGATGTGGAAACTTTCACGTACCTGGGCAGCAACATCGATGAATAAGGAGGATCTCATACAGACGTAAGGGCAAGAATTGGCAAAGCAAGGGCAGCATTCGTACGGTTGAAGAACATATGGAACTCAAAACAATTATCCAAAAGCCAATATCTATTGTCAGAATCGTCAATACGAATATCAAGACAGTTCTATTGTGCGAAAGTGTAACTTGGAGAACTACCACAACCACCATCAAAAAGTACAATTATTTATAAACAATTTTCTACACAAGATATTGGCACCAATGAAATATTTATCTTAGTTGACTTTTTATGTGCTCTGTCGACTTAACACTTAGGACAACGTTAAATTCAAAGTCGAATATGAAAGTAATTTCCGACGTTCATTAATGCATACGGACGATAAGCTATAAGGATCAGAGAAGGAATAAAATCCTATTCAATATAATTGAACATAACATGTGGCTCACTGTAAGACACAAGCAGGAGTATAGATACATACATACTACCATACACTCATGCTCAAGGGCATAAATGACAGAATGACTGGAAAATTATGATGACTCATCTGTTCAAAAGTTAGGATAAACACGTAGGTGTGAAATAAGCTAAGATCTTTTAGTCTATCGATCAGCATTTCGCCCCTTATTATCATGTTGACAACCCTAAATATGTTCATCATCAAAAATCTTCAACCCCTCTAGAACACAAATTTGTTCCTCTTATTTTTCTACTTATAAATTAGTTTAAAGTAAACAATTTTAAAGAAAGTAAACTGAATTACAATGAAAAAGAGTATCGAGAAGTAATGATGAGAATTAAGCGATGCTTTCTGGTAAATAATTAGTTCACTGAAAGTTTTGACATGTCTTTTGGACTTTCCGACTTTTCCGAAAATAACTAACAGAATAACGTGCATCTGTTTTTTGTGTATTACACAAGGGATTATAAGTTTAAAAATTAATTATCTGATACATTCCTCAAAGAATGGTTGACAGGGGGAAAATATTTAACGATACTGCTTAATCGCTTCACATTCTTATTATCTAGTGAATGTATTTCATTGACTAAACGGTCTGAAGAGTATAAGCTGTACAATTCAAGTTGATTGTTTATTCACTAGGTATAAAAGTTGTCAGTTTTGAGGATGAGGTGATCTTAGCCTTTACATACTTCATGATAATTACTAGTGTGTCAGGATTTATAAAAAGCTAAGAACAAGAAAATATTTCTCCAGTATGTTGGTTCGGGATGTATGCATCACGTATATTTACCGAAGACCGTGTATTCTCAGTCCTTGACCAGACTGCCAAGTGCCAGGATGGAGACAACACAGTAGTCGATTAGATCTTCATGAACTGTCGTATGTATGCTTTTGTATTGTAAGGTTTTTCCAAAGTTTGAAGTGGGGTGGGGAAAGCTGTCGTTTCGTTATTTATACCTATGGTTCAACCAGCTGACGTAAAGATGTAACATTTAATTATTTCTGTCGCCAACTAAATGACCTCAGTGAAAGCTCATTGTGTGGATAACCTATGAGAACTTGCCGATCTCAGATTGAACAAGCCACAGGTACAAAAATCATCCCTCAAGCTTGTAATCAAATAGATCATACCGCAATCTGTTGTTGATGTTGAGGTTGTGGGAGATAATGCTGCTCTCTTTCAGGTACCTATCTGGATTCTGAATATCTTGTAGTAAGTGGCGAACCCATCATGGATTATGCAAATTAGGAACTAATCACCCTTAACACGTTGATGTAAGCGAATCGACTTCAGCTACCATTGCAACCAAATATGGTACGGCGTTGTGTTCAAGACTATCTGTGTCTATCCTTTTGAAAGTATAAATGGTCAGTAGTTACACTTAAAAATGCGTGTTCAGTTACATGCATCTTGTATTAAGCCTATTCCACTACTGTATTATTTATCTGCACACTGTAATTTAAACACTTAATCCATCATGTAGTTTTCTGTGTGAATCTGATTGAGCACACTTCTGCACACCAATCTTTAATCTATTCTCCCATTGGTCGTAATACACAGACAATCAATAATTTATCCATACTTGATTAGCACTCATAAATATATAAGGATTTTTAACACACACAATCTTGGTTCCCCTGTGTGCTTGCTTCCTGTACGCTTGCGGATTTTACCAATCTTTAACAATAAACTATCTCTATAACTGGTGTTCAGGCTTTTGAATAATCTCGAGTAAGTCCATAATTCTACTAGGAGATTTAGCCTGTAATAAATACTCAGTTAACGGGATACTATTTACAGGAGTCAGATATAGAGGATACTAGCTCTACAAAGTTAGTGACCCGCATTTAGAACACGCACTATTTCTATACAATCTTTTTGTATCGTTTTGCTTATAAGTACGGTTTATTTAGTCGCTATACATTCCCTTGTTACCCAATGGATTGTGCGTACCATTAATAAAGTAGGTAGCTTAAACGTGAGATATTAAAAGCATACGTTTAAACAGCAGAATCTGATGAATATGGACTGCTATTGAGTTGGAAGCATAAGATGCATCTAACAAATATTCCGAGCTATTATCACTAATCTGGTTTCAGTAATACAATTTTTGGGGTCAAAGACTATTTCATTAGCACAATTTGGACACTAGATTAGGATAGTGGATAGTTCAACTGACTGGTTGTTCAAAAAACTTGAAAC